CTCATATCCACAGCTGGAGAGTTCTATATAAAGTAATTTAAAAACACCTCTTACATAGGTGGAACTCCTAGCCAGTATATTCACTACATATTGAAAGATTATGGTTTGGGGTGGTATGAAGATCCACCTTACTAAGTCATCAGAGAGCACTTGGGGAAGTAGTTGGGCTTGATAAACAGAGACAGAAATGGCATGATAATTTGTTGAGCTCAGAGAAAGTCAGTTCTGTTAAAAGAAAAACTTTATAGAAAGTAAATTCAACAGAACTGACTTGAACAAAAAAGGATTCATGAATCAGGCAGCACTCAGAACCACAAGAGGTTCATAGAGCTCCAAGTTAGCAGCACGAGCTGTGGCTTTTATAGGCTGAATGCAGAAGTAAAGTGCAGACATAACTCGATTGTTTATGGCTAGGCATTTGCCTTATTAGGACATGGTCTGATCAGCTGACTACCTGTGAATGGCTGAAGCTTGGCTGCTTGTGATTGGCTGAGACCAGCTGTTCCAAAAAAATACACTAAGTTAGGTTCTCATTTGTTTATATACCAAGTTAGGTTGCAGTTCATTGTGTAGGAACCCAAAGTACCTGCACAGCCTCGAGCCAATGACCTCCTATTTATTATAGTTCTTTGCAAATGAACTCTCAGATCAAAAAATTGAAATTTCAGAGAAAGTCCTAAAAGGGTCCCAAGTTTCTAACTTTAAAAAAGTAGTCTGTCACTATTGGAGGAATCAGGCTATCAGGAGCCTGGTGCCAACTATCAAATCTATTGTGATGCTAACATGAAGCCACAATAATAACATGGGTGCGTGGTTTACATGCCAGGCTCCACAGAGCCTTGGGTGTTCCTTGCAGCCTCCTCACAGGCCATTGTGAGGGAGAAGGGAAGCAGACCTCTGGGGCCTCCACCTCTGCTTCAACTAAAGTGCTGCACTGTATCTGTTACATCCTGAACTTCTAAGATGTTATCTGAAGCTTTCCTTTTTCAAAATGGTGGCCCAAACACATACTACTGCCTTCCCTTCAGCAATGGGTTCTCAGACACAATAGAAAAAATATGTAATAGGCCGGGCGTGGTGGCTCACGCCTGTAATCCTAGCACTTTGGGTGACCCAGATGGGGGGATCATTTGAGGTTAGGAGTTCGAGACCAGCCTGGCTGACATGGTGAAACCCCATCTCTACTGAAAATACAAAAGTTAGCCAGGCATGGTGGCACTCACCTGTAATCCCAGCTACTGGAGAGGCTGAGACAGGAGAATCACTGACCCCAGGAGACAGACGTTGCAGCGAGCCGATATTGTGCCACTGCACTCCAGCCTGGGCAACAGAGTGAGTCCAAAAAAAAAAAAAAAAAAAAAGTAACAATACTCGGAAAACTAGAAGGGAGACTTTTTTAGGGAAGGGAGTTTTCAGAAACTGAAAATCCCCAAAAGAGCCACCAAAAGGATCAGAGGAAGAAAAAAAAAAAAAAAGCCTGAGGTGTGTACAAGAGAGTCTTGCTGCAGAACGGACAGGTGCCACCAAACATTTGTCCCACCTGGTGGTTGGAATCGAGGAGCTGGGTAGCTTAGATACAAGAGTCAGGGTGCCTATTTGGGAAAGGAAGAACAGAGCCACATTGGTGGACGCATTCCCCCATGGTGTCACTGTGAAGAGCGTGGAGCACAGAACGAGGTGGCTGCATCCACCTCTCCTATCAGCAGTCAGTGTCGATTGAATTAGTCTATGTCACTGTTAATAAGGAAACCTGGCTGAGCACGCTGGCTCACGCCTGTAATCCCAGCACTTTAGGAGGCTGAGGCAGGCAGATCACCTGAGATCAGGGGTTCAAGACCAGCCTGGCCAACATGGTGAAACCCTGTCTCTACCAAAAATACAAAAATATTAGCTGAGTGTGGTGGTGGGTGCCTGTAATCCTAGCTATTTGGGAGGCTGAGGCAGGAGAATCCCTTGAACTTGGGAGGTGGAGGTTGCAGTGAGCTGAGATTGCACCACTGCACTCCAGCCTGGGTGACAAGAGCAAGACTCTGTCTCAAATAAAGAAATAAATAAATAATAAAGACACCTAAGCAGGATGGCCAAATATCCAAATGAGTCCAAATGCATGAGGGAATCTCCCAGAAAGCAGGATGCAGGGATAAAGAAATGGAGTGGAAGAAGAAAAAGTAAGAAATATGGACTCTAGACACAGGAGGTTAAAAAGCTCTCTTTTAAGGGTTCCAGAAGGAAAAAAAAAATTGAGGAGAGGGAGCAGAACTAACAAAGAAATTACAGAGAAGAATTTCCTAAAACTGAGGTCCTCAAATTGAAAGTTCCCTGGAGGACAAAGCAAGATACATTTTTAAAAAATGGAACAAATAACCCCCTGTAGATTAGAGTAAGATGTCAGAATATCAAGGATAAAGAAAAACTAAAATCTTTGAGAGAGAAAAAGCAGGTCACCCACCATGGCATGTGAATCAGTCTAACATCACACTTCACTAGCAGCACCCAGCAGAAGACGACAGTGGAGTAGTCACTTTCTGAAATGCTGAGGAAAAGCGGCCTTGTTATAGAATTCTCTTCCCAATCAAATTATCATTGAAGTGTGAGGGGTAAAATTAGATGTTCTTGGACATATAAGACCTGAGAAAATGTCCCAACCATCAATTATCCTGAAAGAATTGCTGGAAAGTGTAGTCCAGCAAGAAGCAAAGACATTAGCAAAATTTATAGTTGGCCTTAATAACTATTGAGTATAAAACGTGTGTGTGTGTGTGTGTGTGTGTGTGCCGATTTGGAACCACTTGTTTTGGCTTTAAAAAAAGCTTAAAAACCAATGGAAAAAGGGATGAGGTCAAACTTCTGTCATATAGTACCCTCTGTATTAATTCTGTATACACAGGGTGTTTCTTCTCTTACCCTCTGGAGGAGCCAAGTGAATCAGAAGAGTTTCCTTTATGGTCCCTGATGGGCACAGCCTGTCCTCTCTGCCATCTGGATGGGACAGGAGAGATGAACTCTCAGATAGATGACCCTGGAGGAGGAGGTGGACACCTCATCCTTCATCCTTCCTAGGCCATGTACCCACTGGGAAAGGGCCTTTGAGGGATCTTCACACACTGCAGAGGTGAGGAGGGGCATGGGTTCCTCTTCTAAGTGCTGGCAGTTGTGCCAATAGGAAAGGGGCTACCTTGGAAATAGGCATGTTCAAAATGGCAGCTTCATCTTCCCTTTTCCTCACCAACCACATGTACAGTAGGGGGCAGACAACATGGAGCTAGTCAGGCAAATAGCCCATTTGCATAATAAGATTAAAGTGGGGCAGCCAGCTTCCCTCAAGCTATGTACACATCACACCTGGTCCAACCAGTCTTTGGGCCCTATGTAAATCAGACACCGCCTCCTCAAGCCTTTCTGTAAAACCCTGTGCACTCCGTGACTGGCCGGAACTCCCACTCAGGTGTCCCTCTCTCTCGCAGAAGAGAGAGCTGTTTTCCTTTCTCTTTCTTTTGCCTATTAAAACTCTGCCCCTAGACCCACTTCCTGTGTGTCTGCATACTCAATTTCCCTGGCATGAGATGGCGAACCTCAGATATTTACCCCAGAGAGCAACGTTGCTTCAGAATTGCTAAAACATATGGTAATTCTATGTTTAATTTGTTGAGGCACCACCATATTGTTTTCCATAGTGGTTGCACCATTTTACATTCTTGTCCATTCCCAATGCATCTGGCTTCCAGTTTCTCAATATCCAACACTTGTTATTTTCTTTTCTTTTTTTTTTTTTTTTTTTTCTTTTTTTGAGGTAGAGTCTCGCTCTGTTGCCCAGGCCGGAGTGCAGTGGCACGATCTGGGCTCACGGCAAGCTCCACCTCCTGAGTTCACACCATTCTCCTGCCTCAGCCTCCTGAGTAGCCGGGACTACAGGTGCCCGCCACCATGCCCAGCTAATTTTTTGTATTTTTAGTAGAGACAGGGTTTCACTGTATTAGCCAGGATGGTCTCGATCTCCTGACCTCATGATCCACCTGCCTTGCCTCCCAAAGTGCTGGATTACAGGCATGAGCCACCACACCCGGCCGTTATTTTCTAATACTTTTTTTCATTAGTAGCCTTCCTAATGAGTGTGAAGTAGTATCTCATTGTGGTTTTGATTTGCATTTTCCTAATGATTGATTAGTGATGCTGAGCATCTTTTCATATGCTTATTGACCATTTGTATACATATCATCTTTGGATAAATGCCTATTTAAGTCCTTTGCCCATTTTTTATTTGGACTGATTTTGTTGTTGAGTTACAGGAGTTCTTATTTCTAAATGTCTAGTTTTTTTTTCTTTTTTTAAAGAGAGGGCATCTCACTGTATCAGCTCAGCTGGAGTGCAGTGGTGAGATCCGAGCTCGCCACAGCCTCCCAACTCCTGTTCTCAAGCGATCCTCCTGCCTCAGCCTCCCAAGTAACTGGGACTACAGGTGTGTACTACCACATCCAGCTAATTTTTTTTTTTCTTTTTGTAGAGATGGAGTCCTACTTTGTTTCCCAGGCTGGTCTTGAACTCCTTGCCTCAAGCAATCCTCCCATCTCTGCCTCCCAGAGTGTTGGAATTACAAGCATGAGCCACTGTGCTTGGCCAGGAGTTCTTTATATATTCTGGATACCAATCCCTTATCAGATACATGATTTGCAAATATTTTCTTTGATTCTCCTAGGGCTGCCTCTTCACTGTGTTGATTGTGTCCTTTGATGCATTTGAAACCCTCCTGAGCCCTTCCCTCCAGTATCCTGCCCCTACTGTCAGGCTGCTCTGCACTTCGCATGGGGTTTTGGGGTATTGGGAGTACTCCTCGACCTTGTATCCTGCTGCCTCCCTGGGTGGGCAACACCCACTGAGGGATGGGGGAGTGGCAGGTGCTTCATCCCTCTGTGATTTCTGCCCCAGGTTCTCTTCTAACAAACGCAAATCCTATTATGAGAATTTGCTAACACGTTTTAAAAATATGCAAATGGATTGGGAGCTTATTTCAGAGACAATTTTTTTAAAGAACAAGTAACCTATATATTTTTAAAATCTAGAGAATGTACAACTCCTCTGCCACAACATGAGGGAGAGGAGTCTGCAGACGGCTGATTGGTGACGACTGAACACAATGGAAAGGCAAGTCGCTATGCCGGAAGCCTTTGAAGGGAGCCAGCAGGGTCTGTGGGAGGTTCAGGACACATACCTACAGCCCTGCTTCCGGCCCCACCCTTGGGGAAGCCTTTTGCGGGTCATCCTGGGACTCCGCTGGGAAGGCCCCAGGAGGTGAAGCATCCTCTGCAGAGGAGATGGCACATCTGGAGGTAGAAGACAGACCTCCATCTGGGCTCCGTTTAACTGCTGTGATTTGGGATTGTAACTTACCCCATGAAGCCTCAGTTTCCCACATGGAAAATCAAATCAATCATTGTTATAACATTTTACTTTTTTGTTATGTGATGTAATTTACACAGTGCTTTCGTAGACATTATCCAATTCAGGGAAATAATACAGAGCAATGCACTTTGAAAAGAATAAAATGCTTAACATGTGTGAGGAATTCTTTTCTTTCTTTGAAAACTACTCCGGATGGCTTGGCTATTGTTTAGTTAAGAGAATTACACAACTTTTGAGACATGGTTCCTTATCTTGTGTAGGCTGAAAGGCAATTAAACAATTATTCATGTCAGAATCTGAGGTAAATAAAAGGCTGCTTCAAAGAGTCCACTTACGGATTGAAAAGCAGTTGAGTAGAAACAGAGAGTGGTCTGTAATTTCCTTCTGGAAGGAATATCCACTCCATATGGCCTGAAGCAAGAATTTCAAACTCCTCTGTGAGGAGAAAGAGACAGAAATAAAAACTTTAAGTTTTTTTACTCCGATTTGTCCCAGCCATTTTCTGAACAGCCTATGGAAGCCATCCGCTCCTCTAAACAAAAATAAGCTAAGAGACAGAAAGAACGATTAGATTTCTGTGTGTAGGGATTGTTCAGTCATAAATCAGTGTCTTTTTCCAAGAGGAAGGTGCCAGCAACAAAAGTTGGTCATAAAAAGGACATTAAACTTTAGTAGTCTCTTCACTGTTCCCTCCCACATCCAGCTGCCAACAGCAGAGACAACTGTGAGACACAGTGATGTGAAGTGACTGCTCCACTGCCAGGCAACAGGCGACCTGGACGCCAGGCTCCCTGGCGGAAGAAATAGAAAGTCAATAGCAAACACGGATGCCTTCCTCCCTACCACATCACCTCCACTTTTCACCATTGCCTGTGCGATACACCCGCCCCACAATGCCTTCCTCAGCCTTTTACTTCTGTTTCCAGTGAGTCAAGAAAAACTTCTCCAACTTGCCCTGTGGAGATGAGTGAGCCCATAATCCACTTACACGTGTGACCTTTACACAGCCTGGACCCCCACAGAGCAGCCAAACATGCAGTCCTGCAAACAAAAGGAATTTCAAGATAACTCTCATCTTTCACTAATTATCCCAAAACCCAAAGAGGATCCATACACACATCCGAAGCCTGCTTTAAGGAGGCTTCCTCCCCTGTGTATTCCCAGCATCCTGTAGTTTCCCACTCTGCAACTCCAAACTCAGCTTGTCCCATCACCAGCCCCCAGCCTCTTTTCTTTCCCTCTCCCCATGCCCCACTGCCTCTATTTTTTAATTATTGCAGATTGACCAAGTGTCTATGAAGCTGCAGCAAGGTTTCTTCTTTTTTGGAGCAGGGAATGGGGAGTGATTGGGCTTGGCTGTGACAAAATGAGTTTTGGCAGGCTCAGTGGGCAGAAGCCATGAACACCATCCCAGTAAGTACAAGGGACTCTAGAAGCGTAGAATTCCCTTAGTTCCTGGCTGGAAACCCAGCTCCCCACCTCCTCCCATCCATCAAGCTGGCAGCCGTGACAATGTCAGAGCCTGAGCTCCTGCCCAGACTTCTGGGTGAAGTGGTCCCATGGAGCAAAGCTTGGTTTGGAAGATTTGGAGAACGTGAGAGAACGTTCTCTTACCACAACCTCTTCCCCACCGCGGCCCCTTCCTAAGTTGCCATTGAAATCTATTTTTGCCAGGGCAAAAAATAGGGGCAGTGAACAGCTTCTGCCAACAGTGAGTTTGTTCCAAGCCCACCCCACAGTCATGGGTCCCTCGGAGTGTCACTGAGTCACAGGACTCATGGAAGTCTGCCCATGTCATGAAGATAAACTACTGCGATCACTTTAAAAATCTTTCTCATCACGTCCTTGGGAAGATAAAGGGGCGGAATTGAGCAGAAAGGGGCAGAGGTGGGACTTTTTTTCACTAACCTTAACCTTCATGCCAAGAACAGAGATCTCTGTCTGAAAGCATGTCTCAGATGACCATTTATTTGCTCTGCCTGGTAAACGCTGGTGTGATGCGTGGCTCTGAGCATTAGTCATTCCCTGCTGGGAAGGAGGTTAGAACGCCAGAAGCAAGGCTATTGCAGAACTGGACTGTGTGGGTCACTAAACCACAGGGGAAAGGGTGGAGAAGCAGCTGGTGTTCCGCTGAAAGGTCACAAAGCATTATTTCTACTTTAATATCCAGAGTTCAAGTGGAAATAAACTGAGAAGGTTAAGATCTAAGTGAAAATTAACTGAAGGCAACTGTGCCATTTGGACTCTGAGATGTGCTTGCTTGGGAGAGGGCAAACCATGCTGGCTATCTTTCCATGAGCACAGCTGAACAGGAATAGGCATTAATAAGGACAAACATAAAGAAAAAATTGCTAATTATTGGCAGAGAGTGCCAAGAAAAGTTGGTGGAATTCTCTTCTTTGGGGACCCTGGGAAAAGAACAGTAACAGTTAGGTACAGAGGCACCTGGAAGCAAATAACTTCTCTCCCTGGGACAGTGGCTCTGTGCTCTGTGTAACCGAGTTCTTTAGGCCACTGTAGTCTGGGTGAGTCACTCCAGGGTTATAGGATGCAATAGCCATGCTAATGAAAACTCACTGGTTCTGAGCCCCCTTCCAGAAGAACTGTGGATACTTTCAGCCTCTTTTCTCCCTGCAGGGTCTCAAAGAGCTCATGTTCTGTCCTTGGTGATTAATACAGATTTCTTGGCTCTTCCCAGCCTGCCAGTCAGTGGCCTTAATTTGCCACTTCTGTTGCTAATTCTCACTCTTGCCTCAGCATCAACCCGATCATTCTTGCAGCTGTAGATGTTGGCCTTCCTGCACCGGATGCTCGCAGAGAGGGGAAGGTGCTCTCCTCATCACCATTTCTAACAAAAAAATGAGAAGCTTGCATTCTCACTTTCTTGCTGAGCTTCTCCTGGTGGAGCTGCCCATGAGGTTCCTGATGGCTGGAGGAAATATGAGGATACCTTTCCCTGAACACCCACCACACCTCTCTCAACAATCAGCTCATGTTCCAGGACAGATGCTGTGAACAACAGCAAATGTAGAGCAGGTACTTGAAACTATGCTCACTGCTTTACACAGATGATCTCATTTCATCTTTACTGTAACCCCATGAGATAGGTATTATTATGGTCCCTATTCTGCAGATGTGCAGAGAACCAGCACCTCGACTGTCTGATTTCAGAGAGATCAGAGATCAGAGGTTGGCCTGGTTGGTTCTTCAAGTCAAGAGGACTTTTTCTTCTGTCCCAACAAGTGTCCTTTGGGTCACCAAGGCATTAGTTCTCAGTGGATATTGCTCGTGTGCCTGACATAGGTGGCCATTAGGCCACCGTCCATTACACATGCCAATAGCTCTTGGTTTTCTTTTATTTGCAATACAATTCAAAAATGTGAATAAAACCTCAAAAAATAGGGAAATGAAGTCTGAACAATAAAAATAGCTGAGATATTGAGTATTTAATATTGCCAGGCACCGTTTGCCAAGCACTGTTCTGTGAAGACAGTGCCTGGCAACATTAAATACTCAGTATCTTAGGAGGTCGGTACTATTATTATCCCCATTTTACAGGCCGCCAAGAGGTTAAGTAACTTGCACAAGATTGCACAGCTCTTAATTGGAGCAGCTGGCATTCAAATCCAGCAGTAGCATCGGCCTGTTCCTTGCCAAATACAACAAGGCTCTCTACCTTCTTGGATGTTTATTTCCTACCACACTTTTAAAAACAATTCACCAAACACAAAAGAAGTAGCTAAAACAAGGGGCTCACATTCAATGAGTAATGTAGAGGCACAGCTTTGTGGTTGGTTCCTTCTCTCAGTTCAGTAATGAAAATAATACAACACATAAAAATATAACAAAACAGAAAGAGGTGAGTGCCCTAAGGAAGATACAAGTAGAGCCCTGTGGAAGCTACGGTGATGGAAGTGACCCTGCTGAGTTAGGTCCCAAAGAATCACTGGGATCTCCACAAACAGATGGGAAACACAGACGTAGCACTGTAAGCAGAAAAAGAACTTCATGGAGGAAAAGTGTCCTGGGGTCCAGAAATAGTGAGATACTGATATCTGATGGATCAAGTAGGAAGTCATGGATGATTCCAGGATGAGAAAAAATGCATAGATTCATCACAACAATTAGCAGGTGAAATTTAGTGATATTTTCAACATACACGTGGCCTTCAGAAACACTTGGTAGTGGCACATGGGGCAGAAGAGTCCCACATATATGGATGTCCAGGTTTACACCAGATGTCCTGGCAACCCATTTGGTTAGCAACCCTAACCATTCTCAAAAAGATTGTTGCATAGACAATAAATTATATGGCCACCCTGTATCTGGCAAATTGAAAGACAGGGCTCATCACGTAGGTGTAATAAAGGTGCTTAAGAAGTCATATTATGGCCGGGCATGGTGTCTGACGCCTGTAATCCCAACACTTTGGAAGGCCAAGGCAGGAGGAGCACTTGAGCCCAGGAATTCCAGAACAGTCTGGACAACATGGCAAAACCCCATCTCTACAAAAACAAACAAACAAAAAAACAAAATTAGCTGGGTGTGGTGGCACACAACTGTAGTCTTAGCTACCCAGGAGGCTGAAGTGGTAGAATTACTTGAGCCCAAGAGGTCGAGGCTGGAGTGAGCCGTGATAGTGCCACTGTACTCCAGCCCAGGCAACATAGTGAGAACCTGTCTCAAAACCAACAAACGAAAAACCAAAACAACCCCACAAAGAAATCATATTTTAAAAGCCTACAGCTCAATGCCTAGCTAAGCTTTATAAAGAATGCGGGCTCTTTGACACTTGTATACAATTGCAACCATAGTTGGTTTTGGAAGTGTCAGTTCTTTCCCCCAACCCTATTTGGTGTGAGCCATTTTGCACAAGGTAACCCAACCAGTGTCTGCCACAGAGATACGCAGGAAAAGCCAGCCTTAATGTATAGTAAAGAAAAAGCTTGCTTAAACACATACTGACATAAACTGATAAAGCTAATTTTTATCCAAGCCCACTTTTGGATCTCAAACAACTGAAGTCAAAGAAGTTAATTAAAAACACATAGAATTGTCAATGAGTTTAAAAATAAAACACAAATTTCTTTGAAACAATGAGACTTAACTAACTCTGTGGTAGATTAGTTGGCTAGTCTTTTGCAGAAGAGCCAACTTATTTGTATCTGAGATAAAACATATTCAGGAAAGAAGGAAAACTGCAAAGTGGTCCCAGAACAGAGAAAGCAACAAGGAGGAGGCAGTTTTAACTGTCCTTTCAACTTTGAGGTGCAATCTGTCTACAGGGCTCCCTTGGGGGAAGCACAAGCTCTTTCTTTTAGTGAAGTCTGATTTTGTTGATTGATGCTGTGTTGTTGCTGGATTGTATTACTATGTGAAGTTGAAAGGCTTAACGTTAATGTGTCTTAAACTTCAAGACTTGGAATGCATGCTCCCATTTAAACTTGACTGTTCTGGGCAATGTGTTTTCATTGGCTGGATGTCTAGCTTGTGCATTTCTGTCATTTCCTGATGTGTGTGGTATGCTTTGAGCACTGCAGACAGGAAACTCACTTTTTCTCTGGCTTTCTTCTGATTTTTCTGTTTCTTGATTATTGGAAAAATGAATACACATTGATAAAAATAATAATAAAGTGTCACCCCAAAAGTCTTATCTTTAAAATAATGTGGAATGGCAACGCTAAAAACAAAGCAACTTGGACTAATTTCCACTATGAATAGGGAACAAAGAATCTGCACCTTCCCTGATTTTGGATTCCAGATTCCAAATATTTCATAAAGAAAATATGACCAGCTGCATGAATTGTAAGGTACATGCCATGTGAGTTACATACACAGGGAGAGGTTGTTTTTAAAACTTCCTGCTGGCAAAGTCAGACTTATTCTCCTTGCCACTTTGAACCCTGTCAGATAAAACCATTCCAGGATGAAGTCGGAGATACGTCATAGTACATTTTAACCCATTTATGCCTGAGGTTGCAATTTTTTGAGTGCGAAAAATCAGACCCTAGTGATAACTTTGAGCAGTAGGATATAAATAACTCCCACATGCTGAGTGTTCCAATAATGGAACACTAGGCATAAACAGGTTTTAATATAAAAGCTTAAAATTTGTACTCCAAAGCAGGGAAAACTTGATTATATTCATTTACCCTCTATTGGGGCATCACATCAGCTATATTTTTAAAGGAATAAAAAGCATGTCACTTCCTTTGTATGCATATCATCTAAATGGACACTTGGAAGTCAGTAACAGGTGGCACTGAAATGCCACATGATGGAAATAAAATCATCTACATATATAGTTGTACTCCTATAAATACTTACCTTTGTATCCTCATAAATATTATGAAATACATACATGAAAGTTTATCTCATAAATAAAATCCAATTTATAATCAGACACTGAGGGTCTGAAAAGACCCCATTCTGGGGAGAAAAAAGACCTTAAAACATATTTGCCTTATACTTATGTGATTCCTGCATACTTAGCATGTGATAAGTTGAAACCATAGCATGAAATACTCTAACAGAAATCCCTAAGGAAAGCAAGAAACTATTTATCCTAATTGGCCTAGTGGCTTATTTCATAGTCAAGGAGTGTCAAAGACATTGATTGTATTCCAAACACATACCATCCTTTATTGAGATCTGGGAATGGAGCAGATAGAGTGCCTGGGTCCAAGTTTAAATCTAAACCATCAAAAACAAATACATTAGTGACTGTTAAACTCGGCATGCCAGGCCCTGTTAGATGCAGAGATATAAATGAGCAATACCACGGTGGGTTAAACGGTGGCCCCTGAAAAAATAGACCCGCACCCTCATCCCTGGAACCTGTGAATGTAACCTTCTTTGGAAAAAAGTCTTTGTGGATATAAGTAAGGATTTTTAGATGAAATCATCCTAGATTAGCCGGGTGAACCCTAAATCCAGTGACAAACATTCTACAAGACAAATGGAAGAGTCACACAGGAGGAGGAGAAGGCTGTGAGAAGATGGAGGCAGAGGCTGGGTGATGCAGCCGCAGCCACCAAATAACTGGAGCCACCAGAATTTGGACCAGGCCAGGAAAGGTCCCCGCTAGAACCTTCAGAGGAACCCAGCCCAGCAGACACATTTATTTCAAACATCTGGCCTCCAGAACTGTGGGAGAATAAATTTTGGCTGTTTTAAGTCACCAAGTTTGAGGTAATTTGTTACAGCAGTCCTGAGAAACTTATACAAATAGCATCCCAATATCTAGGAGCTCAAGGACAATATGCAGAGCGGGACAAGTCGGAGGTAAGTTACTTCTCTGAAACTCATACCTGTAATCCCAGCACCTTGGGAGGCCAAGGCAGGGCGATTGCTTGAATCCAGGAGTTCAAGACCGGCCTGGGTAACATAGCAACACCTTCTCTCTACAAAAAATAAAAACAAAAAAATTAGCCTGGTGCGGCGGCATGAGCCCATAGTCTCAGATACTCAGGAGGCTGAGGTGGGAGGATCACTCGAGCCCAGGAGTTCAAGTCTGCAGTGACCTGTGATGGCACTGCTGCACTCCAGCCTAGGCAACGGAGCAAAAGCTACTTCACTACCAGCAAAACAATAGGCAGAAAAATTTAATTGTGTGAATTTTTGAAAATCCACATTAGATTAGGACTCCCACACATATCTTTTCCAAGGCCACTCCGTTCTGGATCCTCCAGCTCCAGATACTGGCCTCCTGGGCTCGCTGGGAATTGAAATCAGGCCTTGATACTACGTGTTTCCAAGCAGAGTTTTTGAGAGGTCTTGAAGAACAGGCTTGAGTAGAAAGTCATATTTTTTACACACTTATTTGTTGACACCAGATGTGGAATATGGGCTTTGAAAACCACTGTGTGTGTTGTGACAGCCTCAGCGTGGCCTGGGACACACCCACGGTGAGGCTTCTGCCGTGAATGAGAATGAGCGTATCAGGCTCGGTAGTGAGCCGGGCTGGACTGACATCCACAGCGGGGGTTCAGAAAGTTCTCAAGAGAAAATTCCCGTGAGGAAGGATTCTCTCCCGAAGACCCAGAAACTCCTGAGTTTGTCTGTGAAATGTTACCTATATGTTCACTTTTCTGAGAGAATGGCTGGGGCTTTTATCATCTTTTGAAAAGGTTTCACGGCTATAAGAACCCAGAGTGAGATTCGGTGAGCTTGACCTGTCAGAAAAGCCTCAGTTGTTAGAGCAAAGTAGGATTCCAAATACAAAGATGGGGCTTTTACCTGGCATGCTCCTGGAGCCGTCCCCTGGGGGCAAGGCTGGGGCTGAGGGAGGACAGAGCAGACTGGAAGCAAAAACTGGATGGCTGGTCAATGAAGGCCCAAGCAGCCTTGCTGTGGAGCCCCACACAGGGACTAACACAGCAGAGAAAGCCGTTCCCCACCTCCCCCCAGCCCCGGGCGAGGCTTTGGCACTCTAAGCCACTGGCAGAGATCGGCTGCGCTCTCCAGAGTGGAGCACATGCGAGATGCCCCCGAGGCCCCCAGAAATCT